TGGTAGAGTCAGGGTAATTTGGTAGTTCCTTGAACATTTCCATAGTTTTTAAAGCTTCCCAATGAGCCCTCTTTCGTTCTTCTCGTTTGACTTCAGCTCTTCCCCTGAAGCCAGCTTTTAGATTTTTGAGATAAATATTCCTTTATAAGCCATTTGCCCAAAGTGTAGATCCTTGGGTATTTTTTTTCGGTGGTGGTGTTTTCTGCCACATAGTTGGGCAATTCGTCAATCCATTGTGCTGTTTGGTTTAGAAGAAATAACATTTTGATTGATTGACATAACATTATTTCGTTAGAAACTTTTTCTTCCTGATTTGTTAAATTGTGTTTTGCCGAAAGGTTTATGTCATTTTTTTTTTATCCTTTTATTTTTCAAACATTAAAAAATAATTTTGAAAAAAAGGGTCCAGCATAACCACGAGTGTTTTTTCAGCCAACCCCAAAAACATCCAATTCCATACATTTAAAGTCACATATTCAATTGATCATACATAAAAAAGTAATAACGGAAATAATAAATACATTATTTGGCTGTTAATAATATAATAGTAATTTCCAATTGTACATCTCCTAGACAAACATTCGAACACAACACCCATGCGCACACATCTAAGCACAAAACCCAATCAAGAAAATCTATAAAACAAGAGTAACTATATGAAAAAAAAATTATAAAACATTATGACAAACATATGAAATAGGTCTTTAATTGAATTTTGAAATCATTATAATTTGTCAAAGCCCTCAAATAAAATGGCAGTCCATTCCAAACCAACGGCGCATAATAGAAAAACTGACGAGCACTAATTTTATTCAATATTAAATTTGTTTTAATTAAAAGTTTATCATTAGATCGGGTGTTTGAAATTCTATTGTATTCAATTAAATTTATGATGTGTTTATTTAGTTTATTATTTTCATGAATAATTCTAAAAATTAATAAACATGTTTTACATTTATTTACTTCATAAACAGCCATAATTTGGTTATCAAAAAATATATTTTTATTTATGGAACTGTTGAAATAATCATTTGAGAACAATGATTTGACGTATCTTTTTTGTATTAAATTTTAGTAACCAGGCTCCTATAAATGAAAATTTTAAAATGTATTTGAAAGACTTTAATAATACATCATGTTTTTATTATCCAATATCTAAAAATGAAATCCTCCATCAATGTGCCATG